CACAAAACACGTACCCAATGCCTGGCGTGTCGCAGGCACTCAACTAGGCTTAGAATCACGGTGCCCGGGCCGGCCCCGTGGCTTGGCAGTTAAGTGTGTGCGCTCCGCTGCTGGCGGCCCGGGTTCGGATCCAGGGCGTGAGCCGACGCACCGCTTCTCCGGCCATGCTGAGGCCGCGTCCCACATACAGCAACTAGAAGGATGTGCAGCTATGACATACAACTATCTACTGGGGCTTTGGGGGGAAAAAAAATTTAAAAAAAAAATAAAGAATCACTGTGCCCAAGGTCACGTGAATGGGGTCTTACCTGCCCGACAACAGGGGCTGTGGTGGACACTGTGATGTGCCACCCAGACTTCCCTTCACTGAAGGAGTTATAGTCCAGCTGCTAGGGGTGCAGCCAGGAGGCAGTCCATACCTATCAGCCCCTTCAGGCACTGCCCCAGCTACATAGGGCCACCTCGCCCACGGTCACCCCCCTCCCAGGGCAACCCATATCTGATGACTCACCCATGGGGAAGCGTGAAGGCCAGGCCACCCCGCCCCGACTCAGGACAATTCTGAGGGGCTTCTCTGGCTCCCGAGCTCCCTGCAGGGTGGGCCCAGGCTTGTCAGGCCGCACTGTGGCTGGAGCTCTCCTCGGCCCACTCCTGCTTCCTTCCTCTCCCTCTGCAGGCATGGGTCCCAAGAGCACCCCCTAATAAGACCCCTGCACACTAAATTCATCCCAGGAAACCCAGCCTGTGACAGGTGGTCTATTTGTGTCCTTTCTCCTTAGAAAGGGAGGAGAGGCCCAGTGTGAGAAAGACAAATGGATACCATGGAGGAAAAGGCCGAGAAAGATTAAACAAAAGGCACGATGTCCTCCTCATTTCCTCTCAGTATAAACAGTGGTGTTAAAAAAGAAGCCACACTGCACCGAGCAGCGTCTCCAAGAGAGAGGCCTGGGACGGCAGGAAACCCTCCAAGCAGCATCAAGAGTTTGTCCTTAACTCTTTCCTCATGGACAGAAAGACACAAAGAGGAATATTGGAGAAAGGAGGGGGTGCCCAGCAGGAGGAGGGGGAAGAAACTACATTGTACCAAACACACAAAGCTGGCCATGGAAAGTGCCAGAAGAGTCCTTGGTGACGAGCTGATCAATAACTGGAAACTGAGGTGTCTTCAGACCCAAGTGTTCTCCAAGGCGATGGCAGGCCTTTTTGAGCTCTGCCACAATGTCCAGCACCCACAGGGACATATTTGTCTGGCCCAGGAAAGGGCCCACGTAACCAACCAAACACCTGCTTTGCTTTGCTTCTGGCTAGAATTACGTAGACTCTGACAGTGACAGTTATACATCCCTGACTCTCTCTGACAAGAGCCCTGGATCAGTAAATATTCTTCTATTAGGAAGTAAAACTTAGTCATTATTTAACAAATGTAGTATGTCGGACAGACAAAATCTTTCAAATAACACCAGATCTAGGGCAAGGAAAGGCATCTGCTGGGTGAGCCCCTCACAGGTCCAGCCACCTGGTACTACAGATGAGGGGCTGAGACCTGGAGCAGAGCAGGGTTTGTTCAGGGTCCCACAGCAGGGCTAGGCCAAGAACTGACTGCCTGATGCTCAGACGAGAGACTTCCTCCTCCCCCACGGACAGTCACAGGAGAGCAAATGGAAGCTCGGCTGGCACAGCGGACACAGGGCAGGCCCCTCCTATGTGGCAGGCAGTGCGGTCCCAGCACAAGCTCCAGAGAGCAACGAGGGACACTTAAAGGGCGCAAAGCCCTCAAGCCCAAAATCCCACCCAGGAGTTGATCCTACAGCTCGGCTTACACCTTGCAAATGGCCCCTTCTAAAGGGCCACCACGAGGGCTGCTTACGTGACCCGGGGCTCATCCACACAGTGGTGACACTGAGCCAACTCAACACGTGCTGATGTAGGACCACTGCCAAGACACACTGTGCAGTGGGAAAGGCAAAGCACAGGTGGAGAGCGTGCCACCACTGTGACTGCACACATATATTCATTACACCCAAGACGAGGGCCGGCCCCGTGGCTTAGCGGTTAAGTGCGCGCGCTCCGCTGCTGGCGGCCCGGGTTCGGATCCCGGGCGCGCACCGACGCACCGCTTCTCTGGCCATGCTGAGGCCGCGTCCCACATACAGCAACTAGAAGGATGTGCAACTACGACATACAACTATCTACTGGGGCTTTGGGGAAAAAGAAATAAATAAATAAAATTATACACCCAAGACGCTCGACCAGAAACGTGGGCGGGAAGGAGACTAACCGTTCACTGTACAGTCACGTGCCACATGATGACATTTCAGTCAACAACAGACTGCACATACAACAGTGGTCCCATAAGATTAGTATCACATAGCCTGGGTGTGTAGTAGGCTATAACACCTATGTTTGTGTAAGTACACTCTATGATGTTCACACGACAACAAAATCACCTAACGACGCACTTCTCAGAACGTATTCCTGTCAAGTGGCACATGACTGTACATATTTTTGTGTCTTTTAAATTTTCGACATAGGAATATAATACTTAGTCAAAAAATAAATAAAATATGATCCCCTTTATACGAAATATCCAGAATAGGTAAACCCATAGAGACAGGACACAGATTAGTGGTTTCCAGGGGATGAGAGAGAGGGGGAACTGGGGAGCAACTGATTTATGGGTACAGGGTTTCCTTTTGGGGTGATGAAAATGTTTTGGAATTATCAGAGTTGGTGTTTGTACAACATTGTGAATATATTAAATGCCACTGAATTGTTCATTTTAAAACGGTTAATTTTATGTTACTTAAAGTTTACCTCAATTAAAAAAAAAAGCCGTAAAAACAAATAAAACAGGTTTTCACATCTGTACTTGGGAGGCAGCCTGGCAATGCTAGTTGGAAGTTTGGGCACAGAGGCTCAGCTGTGAGGCTTAAATCCCAGCTGCACCCAGCACCACTGTGGGACCTCGGATAAGTAATCTAGCCTCCCTGGGATTCATTCTCCTCGTCGGTGAAACAGGTATAACAACAGAACCTGCTTCCTGGGGTTGCTGCGACGGGTAAATTAAATAGTTGAAGTTAAATCTAGCCCACGGCCCCTGCTCTCACTGTCTGCCCTGCTGAGAACGCCCTTCCACTCCCTCTTCTCCCTCAAGCTTCTGCTCAAATGCCACCTTCTCCATGGGATCTTCTCTGACCATCTGATTTAAAACAGAAAACCGCCCTGACACCTCCTGCCCCTCTGCTCCACCTCCTCATTTCTCTCCCTAGAACTTGCTTATCTATTTTGCTCATCTCCTGTCTCCTTCTACTTCACTGTCTGCTCTGGGGAGGCAGAGGACTGTCTGTCCTGATCACTATGCTCCCCAAGGCCTCAAACAGAGCATGGCCCAAGGTCAGTGCTCAATACATATACGGTGACTGTATGAACAGCGTCAGCTACTATCTCTGCTGTGATCTGGTATGTAAGCTTGCCACCCTGAAAAAATAAAACTGCTGTTTCATTGTTTAATGGGCTTGAAATTAAAAATTAAGCAAAAGTTTACATTGAAAAAACACAGTATTTCCAACGAAATATTATTCCCAAAGGGGGGAGTTTGCAAAGGGGAAGACACAGTTCACAGTGAGATGGTGCTACGTGCTCTCAAACATAAACCAACACACAATCCCCCGACCTCTGACTGCCCAGTGTGTGTGAGAGCTGGTCCCACGAGGCTCTCAGGAGGATCAAGAACACAATGCTACCACGGGCGTCTCAGATCCTGTCCCTCCAAGCACCCTGGGACAAAAATTCGTTCATTCACAGAGAACGGGGTAGACTGAAGGCAATAAGCCAGCCGTCCCTTCCAGGGGCCTTCCCTGTCCCTGCCCTCCTCCATTCCGCAGAGCTGCCACCCCAGCGGGACTCTACTTCCCAGGGCTCTCAGGCCTCATATGGGGAAATCATGACCCCATTATCCAGAGTTCAAAAATGAAAAAAAAACAAAAACGACCCTTAGACCCTTCTAAAAATAGGCTGTCTTTCTAGTCAGCTCTCATATGAGTCAGCTACATCATCACTCCACAAAAGAAGATAGCTGCTTTCTTGCCGCCTCCAAACCCTGTGTGGAGAAAAAAAAAGCTGAAGCCAGCAGTCTCCAAGAGTCTGTGGTTTTAAAAAAGAGAATAAAACAAAATCCACAAGTTTGAATGAAACCAGCAAGGAGCATCTTCCATCCTACTGAGCCACAGCTGTGAGTGTAACCCAGCTGCCAGCTGGACCCCGGGGTGGGGGCCAAGTGAGGAGGCACCTAGTCCGCAGGTCTCAAAGGTCCTGAATGTCAAGATCACCTGGCTGGCTAGTGAAAACACTGATTGCCATGTCCACCTACCCCAGAGTTTCTGAGGCAGTAGGTCTGGGCGGGGCCCTATAATGTGCATTTCTAACCAGCTCCCAGACAAGGGATGCTGCTGGTCCAGAGACTACACTTTGAGAACCACTGCTCTAGAACAGTCTTCCATGTCCGAGTTTCACCTACCTCAACTGCACACAGTACCTGCAGGCAGACACACACAGGGCCGCAGAGAGCCTCTGCCTGACCACTGGTCCTCAAATAGCCTGACGCGCCTGATCCAGCCAACTACTGATGGGACACTCAGGGGTACCTGGACCTGAGAAGCTGCTCCCATTCAAGTCCTGCAGGAGCCAGTCACTGTGAGAGGCTCTAAGGCACATCTGAAACCCTTGAAATCTAGTCACAGCACTTCCCTTTCCGAGAGCAGTCATGAGCAATCCCACCCCGCTTCACCCTTTGCACATGGGTAACCCCCAGCTGCAACATCCGCTTTCTGCCCAGGGATGCTTTCAAGTTTCTGAATCAGAAGAAGCAGCTGAAAGAGGACGCCCCCCAAAAAAAGGCAGGCCATTCAAGGAGAGCTACAGCATCCCTGATGGGGAGCACTTCCCCTAAACGCAAGGACCCTGTCACCCACCGTGGGCAACTCCACCAGCCTGTCACTCACCAAAGTAATCGGCCTTCGGATGAGCATCCATCTCACGCTCCAGACGTTGGGTGAGGGCTTCTAATTTCAATTCAGCAGCTGAGGGCCCAAGCTCAGGGCCCGGGATGAGGGTCTGGCAGGGCAGCCTCACCCTGGGGGTGCTGGGGCTCTCCGGGAGCACAGGCCCCGGGCTGTCACCAGGCGACCAGCCAGGGGGACCTTCTTTACAAGATAACTCAGGCGGGGTGGACATCACTGGATGGACAAGGCTGGTGGGGCTGAGCTTGGGACCAATGCCAGGGTCTGTGCAGCCAGGCTTGGGACCCAGCCCAGGGGCCGCACCCGACTGCAAACTGTCCGTGCTGGCTGGCGAGGATGATGGGGCAGAACTAGGAAGGTAAGATTTGGGCCCATCCTGGAGCCAAGATTGAGGGTCCACAGTGGGTTTGGGCATCATGCCTGAAACCTCACTCCCCACCCCTGAGTTTGTTCTTGGAAGAGCTCCTTGACTGGGGCAGTTCAGGGCCAGGGGTGCTGAGAAGGAAGGGGTCCTGGGCTGAGGGGGCCCCAGGAGGGCCCCATTCTCCGGGCCTGGGGAAGGAAGGCCGGGGCTCACCCGCTGAGAGGAGGCAGTAGTCCAAAGACCCGCTGGCTTCTCACTGCTGCGGCCACCAACACCACCATCCTGGCTGCTTTCAAATGACCTGCTGGAGCTCGGGGAGAGCTGCAGCTGGTACAGGTGATGGTCCCTGGAGGGTTTGGGCAGTGGTGGGTCACTCCCTGGGGGGCCAGGCCACCCACTCCCTACTCCCAGCCTGATGCTGGGGGACACTCCTGGTTCATCACTCCACTTTGAGCTTGCCAAGGAGAGGTTGTCATAATAGTCTCCATGGGTGAGGCAGGAAGGATCCTGGCAGGGTCCCAGCTGGTGGAAAGCAGACTCAGAACTCTCCGGACTCTCCCTGGAACCACAGTCCTGGCTGCCATGCCTCATGACACGGGCGTACGGCCTGGCCCTCTGCTCCTGGGGTGGGTACAAGGGCTGCCCAGCAGCGAGGGTGGTGGCTGTCCCAGGACCCACTGTCGGGGCAGCAAGAGGGGGCTTGGCAGCACCATCCAGGGTCAGCTTGCTGCCCACACCAGCTTCCCGGTGGACCTGTGGGCCCGGGCGGGCCCCACCATTGAGGGGGCCTCGGCTCCCCTTGGGCAGGGTCTCCTCCTGCAGGAGCTGTTGCTGCTGCTGGAGGTGGATTTTGGCCATCTTCGTGGCAAACACCCTGCGTGTTTCCTCAAACTCCGGGTTGTTGCCTACACCCCTGTCCACTCGGAAGAGTCCATCCTTGGACGCCTCGTACATGTTCAGGTCTTCGATGAACTTACTGGCCTCCAGGCCCAGATCCTCGTACTTATCCATGTCGCAGATGGGCGTCCGGGCGTAGCCCCGGTGCCAGGTGTGAGTGGGGGTGTGGGGGGAGACGCTGGCGAAGGGTGGTGGCTCAAGTCCAGCCCGAGACAGATAAAGCCTTCCACCTGCCCAGCATGAGAGTCATGATCCCAGGCCTTAGAGTCCAGCCGAAGTTGAGGCCTCAAGGCCAGTCGGACCAAGTTTGCTTCCAACTCTCTTTCCTCCGGGAGGTGTCCACGTGCGGGCCGCTGGTGGCGCTTCGCTGACCCAGCTTGCTGTACGTTCTTTTCTCTTTTTCAAATCATAAAAGGAAAAAAAAAAAAAACAGAAAAAAAATCACACCCTCCTTAAGCAACCAAATCGGAAACCCACAAGGCAGCCGCTGGACGGGGGCCGGCGCGGTGAAGCCGGCTTTGCTGGGGTGTGGAGGCCGCCGGACCGCTCCGGCCGGAGCAGAGGCGCAGCGGCCAGCGGCGCAGACACGTCCCGGGCGCTCGGTCCTCCGCTGCTGCCCCCGGCGGCCGCG